GATGGAGCATCAGTTATGTCTGGTCAGTTCAACGGAATTCAAAAAAAAATCAAAGATATGTCAGGAAATTCGTGTCCATATGTATATTGCCATGCATATAAATTGAATTTAGTTTTAGTTGACGTTTCAAGAAAGGTAGAAGAAGTACATGATACTGTAGGTCTCTTGGAAGCAGTATATGCATTTCAGTCATCATCAACACTAAGGTATCAAATATTTTTTGATAAAACTGGGTCGAAAGTCCCTATGCACTGTGACACACATTGGGTATCAAAATGTAAAAGTATTCGTTACTTTAAAAACAACTTTACATTAGTATTAACAGCATTAAAAGAGTGTACTAAAAGTTCAAAATCTAAGGAAGTTGCTGAAGCTAAAGATATACTAATTCAAATGAATTCTTTAAAAACTATTGTGTTATTTTTTTGTTTGGATTATATTTTGTCTTTAGTAAATATTCTATCATTAAACTTACAGACACAATACTTGACTATAGCCGTTGTGCAAAATTGATCAAATCCACTAAGGAACAATTGATCAATTTAAGGTCAGAAAAAATATTCATCAATATTTACAATGAAGCTGTAAGTGTATTTCAGACTTCAAATATTGAACCTAACAATACACTACGTCCAACAAGAGAACAGAGAATTTCATTAACACTGGATAACTATTTAACTTATTCAACACTTGGTGCTAGTACTAGTAGAAAAGAAAAACAAAACATGTCCTCTAAAGATACAGAAAATGAATTTAAAAGAGTCTTTTTCCAGATTTTAGATAACATGAATAGTGAAATGATTTATAGATTTACCCAAAACAATGAAATATTGAATTATATCCATGCAAGTGACCCCAAAACAAATGAATTTCTAAATTTAGATTTGTTAGTTATTTTAGGTAATATGTATCAACCATATACAAATAATGACTTTATAGAAATATTGAAGAACCAGTGTCTGATTGGAAAATCTTTATTTTGGATAATTTAACATTATCTGACCTACATCAACAAATAAGTAACTACGGTGAGACTTCTGACCATGTTAAAAAAAAAAATTGAATTGGTCATGGTCATTCCTGTGTCTTTAGCTAGTGCAGAATGCAGTTTTTCCACCATGCGCCGTGTTAAGACATATTTAAGATCAACTATGAAGAGTTCACGATTAAGTAATTTTACACTTTTATCAATTGATTTTGAAAACTCAGACAAATTATTAAAAGATCCAACTGCTGTCCTTGAAGTGTTTGCAAGCATGAAAAACAGAAGAATACAATTTAAAATTTAGCTTACTATTTTTTTTAAAATTAGTTTGAACAGTCTGAAATTTTTTGACAGTTAAATTTAAATATATTTAAATAAACATAATTATACATAATTAGTTCAAAACTATGGATTACTCTATTTTTTTTAATTTAAAATCTTTATTACCTATCTATTATAATTAATATGAATATTTTAAGCTATACACTATAATAATAATAATAATACTATAATTTTATTAAAAAAGTGTTGTGGGGAAGGGGGAGGAAATGAGGAATATTATTTGCAGTTAAAACCTAATTTTAAATCTACTGTTGCCCATACGAAAATTCAGTCCTAGAACCACGTCAGAAATTATTATTTTTTACATCACTCACAGGGATGAAGACTACAAATATGTATATTTGAATTCATTTTTGTTATTAAAAAAAATTGTTTATTTTATTATATTCGGAAAAATTTGAGATAGCCATTCTTTAGAGTTTATTTTTCTGAATATTTTAATGTATCACATATAAATTTTTTTTCAGAAACTCCAAATTAATATTATATTTAGATAAATTGCAAAGTATAGCGTTTTTAATTAATTCAGCTGTTGTACAATTCAGTTCGACTACATCAAAAAAAAAAAGAGAAACTCTTATTTAGAAACTCAGTCTACACATATAATTAATAAATAATAATAAACAAGTATAACAATAACAAAACAACCCAATTTTTATAAGTTAAACACAAAATATTTAATTATCACATAAAAAACATAATATTAGAATATTTTGGTCATTAGACACACATATAATATCAAAATGTAGTATAAATCTTATATTAATTACTTATAACTATAAAACACATATGAACTCTGGCTTTTGGATAACGAAAAAAAAAATAAAGAAAAAAGTCCATATCACAATGTAGAAATATATAGAACAAGGTATTACCAAACGCTATCTTAACCACGTAGTGTGACCAACACACCAAATATTTATAATATTCATAATATCCAAAAACTAATTACAGTAGTCTCACTGATCCGGACTAAATGGGGCCGGACTCTATCCGGATTATTGAAAATCTGGATTAAACGGAATGAATTTTTTTTAATTTACTAATAAATATTTTCAAAAAGATAAATAAAAAAATAACACCATATTAATAAAAATTCAAAATATCACAATATGTAATTGAAACGATACAATTTTAATCATGGGTACTTCCTAAATAATTTCATAGAGGTACCTTCAATTATGCTGCAAATACATATGTGTATATACATATAAACCTTAATATATATATATCAATCAATATACGTCTTGTAGTAGATAACAATCGATATTGACATAAATCATTTTTATATAATATTCATATGTATGTATATAAACATAAGTACTAAAGTACGAAATATAAATTGTCCGAATTATTCGGATGTCTAGACTGGCGATGACTGGATCAACGAATCTCCTGTAAATAACATTTCTGTTTTTACCGCTTTTCAACGACACCCCAAGGCTTTTAGATAATAGAAAAAATGTCAAAATATCGAAAAGTGATACAGATGTTTTAATACAAAAACCAGATGTTTTCTGTTCGTATAGCACCCTTAAAGAAAGTCCATTTTTCAGATTTACGAATTTTAAATTTTTCAACTCTTTTTGACGGTACTAAATAGCTTTTGGGTAGCGAAAAAATGTCAAAAAATTGCGTATAGGTATAAATAAATAAAAATTGTCTATAGATTTTAATATTTTATTGTATTATTTGTTGAAGTGATATCTATTTTTACTGTAATCCCTATTAGGTCAATTATTTCGACCATAGCTAGGTTCTCTATGGTTTAGAATTACCATAATGTTTTTAGACAAAATCCGGACACTAGTTTGAAAATAAATGATATCCAAATTATTGAGTTATCTAGCGCTAGGTATTACGTTACGATCGTAACGTGAACAGATTAGTGTACGAATAGACATAATATTAGTAAGACTACATTGGTATTGTAATAAGTTAATCGTTTATTTTAATATCAAAAACAATAACAATGGGTAACTTCCCCGGAAAAATATGAACAAAAATAGAAATTACAAATTATATATTTATGAGTGTTACACGAAGATCTAATATATATCTTTTGGACTAATATGAGCTGTGTTTTTCGTTTGCTTTAGTAAAGTCCGGATTCCAATCAGAACGGGTGTTCGAAATCCGGACGTATGGTGATTTATATGGTATGGTATTTAAAATATGTAGTGGCCTGGAAAAAGGCCGTTTAAGCAAATGTTTGTCAGGGCAGTTTAAATAATAATGGATATCCATTAATATATGTCTTTCGGGTACCAACAATCGATATGTGGAAAGAAATTATTTTATTAATAATGTATACAAAAATATTTGAATAGTTATGAAAAGGCATTTTAAAATTGTGCCGGAAACCTAACCGATTCAAGATGTTGCTTCGGTACATCCACTCTACGTACGAATTAGCTACTCTTTGATAATTTCACCTGGTCAATATGCATTTTAATTCCCTCCAAGATCGCTCGATGTTCTGTGTGTGATAGCGGATCGTGTCTTGGTTAGGTGGTCAAATCCCATCCCACTGTTTATCAAAGCGCTCTTGATTGAAATGACCAGTTGGTATCTGATGGGGTGGCAAATTTTTAGGTGGTTACAAAATATTTACAGAATATCCCGGGTTTTCACATTTACCGAGAGAACTCTTTGGAAAATTGAAAAATGATTTCTCTAAAATACATGGTTAGTAAAATTTTCTTTTAGAAACATTGCTATCATTAAAAGTTGGAGCAAAATTGACGGTAAAAAAGTTGTGCGCAGAAAAAAGATGGCCGTAATTTATTTTAACTAATACTTACATTTCTTATATTTTCCTTATTTTTTTTTCAGTTTTTCATATTTGATGAGAAATTTCTTGGAAAAATCGAAAAATTACATCCCCAAAGTATTTCCACACGCTAATTTTCTTTCAGAAAAGATACTACATGTAGAAATCCGAACACGTTTTCTGGTCGTAAAGTTGCGCACAAATAAAAATAAAAAAAAAAAAACATCTTTGTAAAACTATAAGCTTCTTCGTTCCACTCAGAATCTAAAAAAAGTAACTAAAAAAAATTTAACACTTTAATTTTAGGAGAATTTTTTTCAGATTTATAATTGAAATATTCAATGTTTATCTTTTTAGCATAATAAGATTAAATGATAAATGTGTAGTAGGTACATTTTTTTAATGGAAGAAAACCACCCATTGGTGGCACTACCTACTTTGTTATTTATATTTTAATAACTATTTTACAAGATCACGGCAACATTTTTAAGTATAAGTGTAGGGATAGATTGGTAACTTGTAAAGAAGTCTTAGTAGAGAAATTAAAATAAAAAACACGGATGTACTACATAGGAGGGGTGGGCCACTGTCGTAGGTAAAAATTTAGGAAGATAGAGGGGAAATTTAATGTATATCTGTACTCAACGAATAACCATTGTTAACGAAAAACGATTCTGAACGGAGTTCGATTAATAGTTTTTTTTTGTCAACAATATATACTCTACATTATGGTAAAATAATTACGTATGCCTTATATATTTTCTTCAATAATATTTGTTTAATATTGTACCGATTTTCCCATTTATTGGGAAAACTCCTGGAAAAATTAACAAATTATCTTTCTAAAGTACCACTCCAGCCAAATTTACATTCAGAAAAAGAGTTATCATTGTAAATTGGAGCAATGATACCATTGCTGGTAGAATGGTTGTTCACAGGAAAAAAAATTACTATATTTTTATTTATCTATATTTCTTACATTTTCTGTTTTTTCCAATTATTGGGAAAATCAAAAAATCCTAGGAAAATCAAAAACTGACCATCAAGTACCATGTACATAATTTTTCGTTTCAGAAAAGCTGCTACACTTGATACATCGGAGCAAGATTTCTGGTAAGAAAGTTTGCATAACAAATTAAGGGTATTTTTCGAGTGAGCGATATCAAAAAAAATGTGAACATTTTTTTCGGAACTCGAGTTTGAGCTGCAATCCCTCAATCCTTGGTATATTAACAGATACGTACACTATTAGGCTACAACGCACATAATATGATGTTCATAATAATGAATTATTTAACATAAAACATACAATATCAGAACTACAAAATTTATAATTTCGAAATCAAGTTAGTTCACTCAATTCCGACTTCACTATCGTTCATAAATCGGCAATACTAATCGTTACTTATGTTCAAAACAAAAAATTAAAAAATTAAATTTGTTTCTCATAATATTTTACTCAAACGATTTTCGTCAAAATTTAATATTAAAATTCTTTTGTGAAAAAAAAATTTTTTTTTTGACCGCAAAGTACGACTCTTAATGAATTTCCGTGTGAAATTTCCAGAATTTTGGTTTATACCTAAAATTTTATACCAAATAGTACCTACCGAATAAAAATTACATACAAAACTCGCAAATCTGAAATGAATATAAACACCTCAAAACTGACTCAAATTGTTTTTAAATTTTACCACGTCTAGAAAATGCATATATAAGTTTTCTGTCCTCATGTTTTTATGTATTTATTAGTTAGGAGGATGTGATTCCTATCCTTATTTACAGCCAAACTAACGGGTAATATATGAAAAATATGTTTATGCAGACTAAGTAGAAATCACTTAATTTGTTGTTTTAATACAATGTCCTCTTAATGTAATATCTTATAATATAAGCTATGGAGCATCTAAAAATAAATTATTTACATCCAATTATTCCAATAGAAAACGCCAGAATGCACAGCCCTTGGTTGTGTGAACACAAAAGATTTGTAATATTAACGAATTGACATTAATACATTTCGTGAATTTTCACGTTTTCCCTAATTTTTTCCGGTTTTTCTCATTTATTTTAAAAACCCCTCGGAAAATCAAAAAATGACCTCCTTAAAGTACCACTCAAATAAAATTTATTTTCACAAAATTAAGATTTCTGGTATAAAAGTTGTTTACGGATAAAAAAAAATTAAT